GTTTTTAATGCAAAATTGAATATGTTTGAGATTATGATTTTTCTCAAACTTATTTGAGTTCATCAAACCTAAAAAATATCGCGTTAGTATGTAAATTTTCTTAAATAATAAATTAAAAAATAATAAAAAGTGAAAATGATGATTTTTGAAATTCAACCATTAATGTTTGATTTGTAAAGTTGTACGTTTATAACAAAAGCACAACGTTAGTTAGAATAATATGGATACAATTAAACAATATAAGAGAAAATAATTGTATGATCAATCACACATAGTATCCAAATAGACATAAATACAATATTTATAAAGTAATGAACATTCACTAAATGATTCATCGTTAAAACATTATCTTATATAACATTTAAATATTAAAATATTATATTTTAGCTGGATTTAAATTAATAATAATATATGTATTTGTGAGGTCATGTTAAAAAATTAATGTAAATATGTAGATAAATTTCTCATAATTTAATTCTAACATGGCATATAAAATTAATAAGAATGTTTTGGTTGATCAATTTAATTGATGTGTCCCTTAAAATCTGCATTGAATGACACATGAGATTTTTTCACACTTAGTGTCCCTTCAATTAGTATATACAGAGGATATTTGATTTATTTTGGTTATAGATTGAGATTCATCAAGAAAATTATACCGGGAAAACGAAAAGATAAGAATTTTTATTTCTTTTGCAATCTTTTATTTATCTCAGAACAATTAAATAGTATCATATGCTTTTTTCATGCGTTCTAGTTAGGACCTCTCTATAAAAAATATTATGCATGTTTCCCATAATTAACAATAGCAATGACATTTATGTTTATTTCCAAAACGTTTGCAGAAACCTCCTTTTGTGCAACCTTCGACGCAGAATTTCCAGCATTTTCCGTCCTTTTCGGGATTATCATCGATGTTCGGAAGACATCTTCCGATCTTCGGATGTTCTCTACAACATATCGAGGTCCTACCATATGCCCACGGTGCAATGTTTTGTTGTCCATCTATTTGGTTGGATCCTATTGTCAACAAACAATATGATTGTTAATTTACAACTTCAAAACTGTAGAAAAATTGCTTAATGCTTAGTAATAAACAAGACTAAAAGCAAACATACCCGTACATAGCACGAGAGCTAAAAATAAACCCAACGAAACAACCGTTGTTCTGAACATCGTTCTCCTTTCTTTTTTTTTTTTGTTAAATCAAAACACTATCAAATGTGACGAATGAGGTGTTTTATATTTACGGTTAGAATCCTAATTATGGGAATGAACATTATGACTTTTATTGTTCAACCAAAGACAACTTATTTCCAAAAGAATTGGTCTCCTCTTAATTTCTTTCTATAAGCAAGAGTTATTTCGGTAAACGTATTTGGTAATTTGCAAGTCAAAGAAGACCAATGCGTAGACGATTTTAATTGGTTTAGATATAAGAATCAGTTCGTGGACATCCAGTTATTCGTTTTGGTTCAGTTTGAATTTTAGAAAATATATTTCAGATAAAACCCAATTTTTGTTAGATTATGTTTGTCCTATATATCTTATATAGGATTTCATTTTTAGTTTTGATTGGACTAGGTACGCCGCTTAATTAGTTTTTTTTTATTGATTTCATGTAAATGTCATTTCAAATGCTTTAATAAATATAATTATAGTTTACACTGATAAAATATCAAAAAAAGACAAATAAATCTTTATGTATCAATTAATAAGTTTTTACATATAACATTTGATAGAAGAATTGAAAAATAAACATTTGATAGAAGAATTGAAAAATAATGTCAGAAATAGTGTTAAATCAAATATTTTAAAATGTTTTGCAAATATATACTATTATGAAAAATTTGCTAAATTATGATACATTGAAATAGAAAATGTCCCAGTACATTTTTATCTTTATAAAAATGTCTCATTAGGATTTAGTTTCTATTAATCCCAATTTTGACCTTGATTTATATTAACAAAGGTTTTTTTTTTGAAACTCCCAATGTCCGGACGCATGGACCACTTCGCTCCATCCGGTCTTGATCAATCTTCGTCCCGTCACGTTACCACACTCAACAACTTCAACGACCGGTCTAATAGACCGGGTCTATGCTTGATATCCTCGTCCGGTCTTACACTTTCTATCAATGATTATATGCCCATGAGTTCGAAGTCATGAGTTCGAAGTTTTGTTGTGACACTTTTTGCAATTTTTTAAAATTTAACAAAAACGTCCGTGTTTTGTGTATTTGATATTTATATTAGCACAAAGAACAATAAATTATCCATAGCTTTACTGGTTACACTCCCTATATTCTACCTATCAATGACTACCCGTCCACGAATTTGAAGTCATGTTTTGACACTTTTTTGCATTTTTTATATTTATATTTGCAATCTTTTTGAATTTTTTTTT